TCTCTCTCTCTCTCTCTCTCTCTCTCTCTCTCTCTCTCTCTCATGAAAATTTTATATATTTTTATCTTTTCGGCGAGTCTTTTCGAAGAAAACTAATAATACACAAATAAATCGGAATTAAACGCGCACGTGTGTCTCTTTTTTCATATATCGTGCATATCACTACATCGAAGGGAAAAATATTTAAAAAATATTTGCATTTGGCAATAATAACATACTCATATTAATCATATATATTTTAATTTAGAACAGTTTTTCCAAATGAGGAAATAATATTAAATAACCATTTATTTAAATAAACATTTTTTTGAAAACGTAACTTTTCATGAAGAAGCAATCGTTTGTCTCCTGTTTCAATAAAAGAATTTAGATTTAAGTGAATATATTTTATTAGAGTATCTATGAGAAACAGATATTTTTTAAATTTCTGGTGTTCTCTTTCTCACATACATACACACACACACACATACACACACATACGGTGTAGACAATACTACAACTTGGTATTACGACTTGGTAAAATTATGACATGACTTCATGCGTGCCAATTTGAGTTAAATAATTCTCTAATCTATGATAATTATGTATTTTAAGCACTGGGTTTATCGTCGCTATTATTGATAAACAAAGGCGATAACCAGAAACAGAGAGCAGTAATTAGAGTATAGAGAGCATCAATCTATTGTGAAATGCGTATTGATCAGCGAATATGTAAGCGAAATCCGTACATGCTGTATCGTGCGTATGTGTAGTTAGCATTGGAAGACTGTTATTCCGTCGTAGAAAAGCGTATGAATATATTATGTCAGTCTATGATCGATTATGGACGATGATAATTGCAACGACTTCTACTGGCTTCTCAATCTATATGGACTCAATTGGATTTTACCGGATATTTTGCCGGATATTTTAATTTTTATCGACTTTTAACTAATCATTTTCGAAGGATTTAGCTCTTGGTATTCACGGAATATGGTTAGATTTTCATCGTATCGCACGTCGAGCATATTTATAATGCAATCGGGCCGATTTGCAATTAGCAAATTAGATTCGCAATTATTCCCATGTTGAGAGAACTAGACCGAATATGTGGAAGGAGATAAATATAGAAATAGGCATATATTGCGTAATAGATATGTAACGGGATAAGATTACAAGATTGCTCGATAAGTAATTTTGTATAAAACGGCGATTAAAGAAATTAAACAGTAAAAAAAAAACGAGAAGGGGACACACATATTAAATAATAGTAAAACAGAAAAGAGAGCGAACTAATACGAGGAAAATATTTCTGACATGACTCACAAAGATTTCGCTCGCTAGCTTTCCATACACACACACACACACGCACATACACACACATATGATATATATATATATATATATATATATATATATATATATATATATATATACACATATATACATAATTATTAACAAAAATTATCAAATAACTATCAATTAATTAGAGCATCAATTAATAGACGATTGTACGTTTATGTGTGATATACGATACTAATTGTCAACGTCAGTCTCCGCCAAATTTACTTCACCGACGACCGTTTACGGCAACGTTGTGAGCGCATTCTCTCAAAAAGTAACGAGGTATACGACTATACAGCTGCGACTTTAGCACGGTAATTCTCGCGACAGTCAAGGTCGCGCGCTCGCGCACGTCACTCTGACCTCGCTACTCCAGCGTGATCGGTAATTTTGTGTCGTTAACAATTGTATACATGTTGAAATGCAAATCTCGCAACATTTTTCCGTTAGTATTTATACGATGACGGCGGTGACAATGGCGATATAACGGTCACCGCTTTTCGAATGACTTACGTTTGGAAGAAGCCATCATCCTCTTGTAGTCGCGACGCCAAGAGGAAGGGCGGGAGGTATCCACTTATGCAGAAACACTTTTTCTCGTCTCGTGGATCATTGGGTATTGGTTCGGTCGTTTACGAAGCCTGTCAATGCTCGTACACTTGCCGATAAGAATGCACCGGTATTTCGTCATGCTCACCTCGTACGGATATATAGACGTGCACAGATCATAAGTCAATTACTAGATGCGATCTTGTGTCTAACAATTCAGACGCCTCTGATGATCTATCACGGTATATAGCACGGCGAGTTACACGTGGCGCAAACAATGTCTTCTTATCGTCGTCGTCAACTGTTTGACCCATGTGGGACGCGGTAAAAATATCTTCTACATTTTCAGAAATTAGCCGGTGACGTTCGTAGCGGCTGCACGGACTCGTGATCGCGCGTAATATCTAGGTGATTTTTCTGTTTTCTTTTATTAACTCGTTATTATCTCGTCTCGTTCATAATCTCGTCTGCGAAATATGCATATACTTAAAATGAGAAGAATTTGCGTTCAGTTGAAATTCTAATAGTGGGATTGGGAGTGAATTTCGTATCTCATTTCTGGGCTATTAGCAGAAATAAGCTGTTGCTTATTTTATTGATAGTCTTTCTCATAACGCCATCTCTTCAATGCAGTATGAAAGTGAAGTATTCGGTGATATATGTTCGTAAAGAAAACGTCTTATCGACAGATGGACGAGATACATATGTAGGAATCATTTGGAAAGATAAGCTGAATGTGTAGATTTTCACGTGAGACGAGTAACGTCGTTGTATGATCGGCGCAAAAAAATATATAAAGTTGTGTGTACCTATTTTCACTTCTTTTTATTATTAATTGAAATTATTACGATGTACAAGTATGTATATATATGACAATGCGTCGTGTTCAATAAAGTTATGTATACAAGTACTAATAAAGAATAAGAAATGCTTGTGCAGAGCGACAATGTGTACATGTAACTTATAATAGAAAAGAAAACATTTACAATAGAAAAAAAGACGAGAAACGTGTGTAATGTGTAAACACATGCACGGTTCCTCTCGATACGTTCGACATGTTCGACGGTCGACGACCTTTAATTCGCATATGAAATCTTGCCATTTATAAGGTGCAATTACCTAATAAAGCCGTTAAACGACACATAAAGTATGATATAATTAGCGCGATATGCACGAACACTCAGTAGTAACTTAGATTACAAAGTTTGGTAAATAAGATCGCTTATAGGAGAGAGGAGGGCGACTCAAGATCTCATGATCCCTAATACATTAATCCTGCGCTTCACCGCCGCCTTATATGTTTGCGTAGTTATTTCTCTGATGTTACTTTGTATAACTACAAATCCAAGTGTGTAATTTTTATACATTTATGTATGTATAGTCACTTTTTACGCATTTATATACGTGTAATTTTATCTACATCTTTTATCTGTGCAAATTTACACATTTAAATGTATATTTTTAATTTTAAATTTTTTTATTTTTTCTACATGTGTATATCAAGTTACATATTTAAAATATGTGATATTGGTACACTGGAAATAGGTTAAAGATAACTGAAAGTGATTTATAATTACTGGAAAAGATAATTTCTTATAAAATTATGTACTGATATATATATATATATATACACATATATATTTTTTAAGACATAAAATATGTCATAACATCAAAAAGAATTCTTCTTCAGAGGATAAATGCATATTACGAGAATGATTATACTAAGGAGAACGACTATATTATGAAAGATTTTGAATTTTTTTATTTTTAATATTTGGTGAAATAAAAATTAGCTTTAGCTAAATGTAAATAAATAATAGATAAGTTTGTAAATGTAAATAAATAATAGATAAGTTTGGCTCCAAAAGCAAATATTAATCTTTATCTTATTTATGTTATTATTACCCAGAAAATTCGCTGATATTCTTAGGGCTGGTTTTTTAATAGTAGTTTAAATTTGGATTCAAATTTAAACTCTATTCAAACAATGTGTTTGTTTTGTTTAAGCAGAGTTTAAGTTGAAATTTAAGTTTAAACTATCATTGAAAAACCGACCCTTAATGTTCTAATTACAAAAAACAATAGAAAGAAGTTATAAGTTGGGAGCAAGAAATATCTCGCGTTTTTATCGAATTTTTGAACAAGAAACAATGAAGACTTTTTTTTAGAACCTAATATATATTTCTTCTTAATTTCACGTTAACTTTACGTGTAAGAAAACGTAAATATGTAAAGATTTTTTAAATGTGTACCTCTTACACATTTCAATCAATCATTTTAAACAAAATTACACACATAAATGAGTGCTTTTACACACATAAATATATACTTACTACTTGGATTTGCAATGTATCGGATAAATATTTCCTTTGTTTTTATTTTCTTGTTTTTGTTTACGTGAAGAAAGTTTCGAAATGATTCATCTCGTTAACCTTCACAACTTCTTCAAAGGTCATAAACATATACCATTTGATCGTTTCTCTTTTCTTGCTTTTTACAAGTGTAATGCTAACTTCCATACTAAAATGATCCGTGCTGCTAATCGTACGAGCGACATGAATATTTATAATCAATTATGAGCTCGCGCGATTAGCTATCCTCTATCTCTGCTTGAGTACATGCACATATTTCGGATGCGTTCTCTTGATTACTTCTCGTTAGTCGGCTGGCAAAATCGCTTCCTCGCCCACCACACTGCGGCCAATGCTGCCGCTAGAAAACCTATACCGGCCACGATTCCCATGGAGATTGCACGATTGCGACGATAAGCGGGAACTTCCAAACCAACCCGGTCGCTTGTTGCAACATCGTCAATAAGAGACATCGCGGCCACCTCGAAAGTGTAGTAGCTCTCCTCTTCCAGAGTTTTCACTGGAAAATCATTGCGATCGTTTATTTCAGTTGTTATTGTTTCATTATTTTTACTTCAACGCGCGTTGGATGTTCCATGAGCATTGGATAAATTAACACCTTCGTTGTCAGCGTCACACACGTATGACACACCGATCTCTTATGAGAGACCAGTGTCACACAAAAAACCTTTGTTCATAACTGAGTGGGGACTAGATGAAAACTCTGTGATTAGAAATGATATCTCTGTTATCGCGACTGAAAACATAAACGGTTAACTGCGGTTAAAACTCGGTTGAGATAACTGGGAATAGTTGATAGAGTAAAATTTCCTACAGGAATTTTGTTGTTTGTACAATCGAATTTGCATTTGATCCTCAACAACAGAACACTCAAAAAATCCAATTATAATACTACGGAGTTGTTTTTAGCGCGCATATATGCATATGCAAATATCTGAATAATATCTAAATATAATTTTTCTTTTTCTATTCACATAAACAATCTAACCTTGTTTTACATAAGTCCATAAAACATACAGGTTAGTCTGTGAGAAAAAAAGAGTTTATTCCTCAAATAGACTGTGGTAACGAATATGTTGATGGAAGAAAAATCAGAATATAAATGAATAATTGCTGCATTTGTGCGAGAGTGGTCGCTCACCTAAATAATAAGTGTCCGTCGTTTCCGCTCTTCCGTATAAATGTTCCGAGGGTCCTCTAAACCATCTCACTGTGTAGAGTCTGACTTGACCCTTGCCGTACTCGGGCGGCTCCCAAGTTACCAAATAACCCTCAACGGTTGCTTGCACTCTCACGTTGAGCGGTGGTCCCACGATTTCAGTTTCTGAAATAGAACTCGAACATTTATCTCCTTCTAGTCTTGGGACGTTCAACCCACGTAGCGACCAAGTTTGTCCTCGAAAATGATTACTCACCATGTTGACTGCGATATTCCGACGCCGAGTTCTCGTCAATGGAACCTAGAAAAGATGGGTCTTTCATTAGTTTATTTCATACAATCCGTTTCGATGAGCGACCGAACGATCGATGATCGTTAATCGTACTCGGCTGGGTAAATATCCGAAGCGCTTTGCTGAACATCCCGTCGCCGTGCTTGTCTTGGCTCAAAACCATGAATTCGTACTCTCGCCCTGAGTTGAGATTATTCACCGTTGCCTCCGTGATTTTTCTGGAGAGGATCTTCATGGTCCTCCACTCAGACGTGTCCGTGGGTCTGTACCTGCGCAAAAATTGTGCGTATCGTTTTGTCATGAGTTAATCGGCGCAGGGCCGGTATTTCAATAGCTTAAACTTAGATTTAAGCTTAAACTCAGTACTAATAATGTGTTTGATACGTTTTAAACAGAGTTTAAACTTACATCTAAAGAATTAAACTTTATTGAAAAATCTCTAAAGGGAATCCATCGCGTTTTGCAGCGACTGGAATTTGTTTTAATTTTGTGCTCCATCCTTATTGAACAAATGAATAGGAGTTAGGAAGGAACGAATATGTGAATAAGAGATAAGAGGGCTCTTAAGATATATAATCAAAGAAAGTGAGGAATGAAAAAAGATGAAGGAAGAAAATACGAACTAACACTGTTAGCGTGAATATTTATAGCGGGAATATAACTATTCCCAGTTATCTCAACTGAGTTTTAACGGTAGTTAATCTTTCATGTTTTCAGTAACGATAACAGAGATATCATTTCTAGTCACAGAGTTTTCGTAACACGCTCACTGTTACTATAGTGAACTTTTTTTTTTCCTTATTTGAGTGGAAATTTTGATTCTACTTTCAATCTCAATATTGTATTTCTATTTTGATATTCTGAAGGCTGTCAACTTCATTTAATTCTATTTAACTTACCAGATTTGCTGAGAGCTCCTTTCTAAAACATTTAAGTAACATTTTGTCCGCATTTAAAAGTAGAATTTCAGTTTCCATATGTATTACATAATCCTTCAAAATATACAAATGTTAGAAAGTTCAGGTCTAAAGTAGCGTTAAAACTTCGACTCGGGCGCTTTCTTTGATTAAATATCGAATGTATCGCGCGCGAGATGCGTTACCATACTGAATACTCCATCTTAGGTCGCACATATCCTGGTATCCAGGTCAAAGTGACGGCGTTCTTGCTGCTGTTGGCGCTCAGATTGTACGGTGCCCTCGGCGGGACATTCAACACCATCAGTTCCGCGTCCGCGACAACCGTCGCCGCTTCGTTGCTGGCCGCGCATTGGTACAAGCCTCGATCGTGTTCCTGGATCCTCTCTATCGTAAGATTGCCACCGATCATGATGGTTCTCTCGGGCGATAGGGGCGTTCCGTCCTTTAGCCGAGAAACACCGTAAGTTTTATCATACGACGTAACGCTAACATAAGTCGCTAATCGGTACGACGTACTTTGTACCACACGATGGTCGGCCGATGTGCGTCGTCGCCATCTCTGGCGTCGCACGGGATCTCCAAGCTCTCGCCCAGCTTTCGCATGTACAAATGCTGCGGCGTTATCGTGAACACCGGCGGTCTTTGAACTATCTGCGAAAAATAATTAGCGATATCGAGTAACGACCCAGATATACTTTCACGATCGTGAGACAATCGATGGTGGAAACTTTAGATGGAAACTTTATAGCTTTAAATTTAACTTTATAGTTTTAAATTGCGTTTATGATGCAAATTTACGGTATTGAATTAATCATTAAATTCATATCGTACAATGATATGAACTTTCTGTTATATATCGACGCAACCAAAATTCGCTAAAACTTATTCCTAGATTTTCATATTACATTTTGCGTGACATATTATTTTAAATGGATTGTGATAATTTTCCCCATTTCTTTTGTATTTCTATTTTGTCATTCTAGAAATATAATTCATACTATATTTTGTGATAAATATGAATACTTAGTTATAAGGCCGATTCTACATTAGTTGTAAGTCTCAAGGTCGCAAGAAAATTGACCAATCACAGTCAATTCTTCTTTGGTCGTAAGAAGAACGATCGATTGTGATTGATAAATTTTCTTACGATCTTACGACTTGCAACTAATGTTGTTAAGAACGACCTTTAGGGATGCAACCTTTGCACATCGACTAGTAAAGTTGCTGTTAAATTTACATACACCTATGTCCAACTGAGGAATGTCGAACGCGTCGCGCGTCGATATTGTTTTGAGAAACTGGCGTATGTGATGTCGAGGGGAAACGTTCGTTCAATTTCGTTCCGGAGAGCCGTATGGCTCGGAGGATTCGTAATTGGCGGACAAAAGCGCGGTTAAGCAGTCGCCGTCGACTGGTCAATGGTCTCAATGCTGACGTGCTCTCTGTTTTTCTCCCTATCTGTGCAATCTGTGTCGCTCACTACGCGCGACGATGGCGAGAGTACTACTCACTACGGTGATCGAAGGGCTGGGCCCTTCGGTGCCTAGTTCGTTATAGGGGGTGCAGCTGTAGCTTCCCGAATGCGTCTCGTCCACTTTGCTAAAATAGAGAGACCCATTTCTCCTGTAGAAGACCCCCTGCACGTTGTAAGGATCGAAAAGAAATCCGTCCTTCTCCCAACGTAGGTTCGTCAGCGGCGGGTTCGCCCTGAAGTGGCAGTCCAGGAGGGCCGGCTTGCCGTACGGTAGGTAGACCTCCCGCGGCGCGTAGATCACTTTCGCCTTATCTATGACACGCGGAGGAATCGATTATCGATCGATCGATCGAGAGAGAGAGAGAAGAAAGACGTGAACTTAACCTTTTATGGTCTTGAACCGCATTATTTTCGCACTGCAAACGAGCGATGTGCATTTAGCTAATTTTTAATGTAAAAGAACAATGAATGGAATTCTTACAAATAAATTTTTGTATACTAATAAAAGATAATATTTTTCAACATAATTCATTAATAGATTACGGCAGAATTTTGCCGGGAATATCCCGATCTGAGGCCGCAAAGGGTTAATAATCGCGGTGTCAAAGAGCAACGCAGTGACGCTCACATTGAACATTTAAAAAGGCCGAGGCGCTCTGCTGGTCCCCGGTCTCTCCTGTTACCACGCAGGTATATTCTCCAAGGTCACCCATGGCAGCTGAATTTATGGTTAACGTCCCATCGCTACCGATAGACGCTCGTCTTTTGAGATCCTGTCGCGATAGAGTGAATTCGATCATTTCCCTCGCGCTTTACAACAGACACAAAATCAACACTGCTCTCGAAAAATTCTCACCTGTATTTCCGAGATGGGTGTTCTCTCGCGAAGCCAAGTCACTACCGTATGCTCACCCTTAGCTACGCAGTCAAAGTCGACGGCTTCGCCCTCCATGGCAGTTTTGTTGACAGGTGGGATCGCTAGTAGATTATCACCTGCAACAGTCGTCGGAAACGGCGACGCACCTGGGTTGAACGATTTAACGAGTCTGCCCGGGTTCAGGTTAGTAAGCAGCAGCAGTGTTACAATATATATATTTTTGTTCATATTGTTTTGTTGTTCAATATCAGCGGGATTAATGGCACGAGACAGACGATTAGTCATCTGCATTTTTAAATCGGCATACGCGTTAATGGAACAAATACATTAGTATCGGTTAATGAATCAAACCACCACCAGAAGTTATATGCATAATAAATAGCAGCTAATTGAATGGAAATGTTTGTTTCTTGGGGAATTTCTTTTTCCCATGTTTTATGGAACTCACGTGGCTAACGTTTAACTTGCGCTACAACTTTGAATTTACTGAGAGATAGACGCTCTCTGCGATAAATCATAAGTAAGTTGATCGTATGCACTAATGACTCAGCTCTCTCTCATTCGCTCATTCATTCTTATCTCTAATAGAATTTAACCTACAAAAACGAGAATCCGGTCTAGTTGAGTACTGACTCATGAAATAAGATCTGTCTTAATTGGTACAGTCGATATATATGTAGCTTGACATTTTTTATTCAATATAACTTACATTAAATTCCAACTCAATTGTTTGGATCGATTAAAATAATCTTATGAATGAGAGAATATTTATTTTATTTGAGCGTCGTTATTTTTAGCGAACGCAATGAGTGTCAAATAACAAAGAAGGAGCGAAGTGACCCTTTAATCAAGACGGGCTGTTTTTCCTCGCCATTCAAGTCTTAAGAGGGTCAAGAATGTCGGAGGTGTTTAAATGAGTGATTAAGCTCAACTCATTTTCTACTTGCCAAAAAATTAGGTCACGAATTTCACGGCTGTAAGCTCTCGGTTAGCTTGCACTTCAGGGTGACACAGTTTAACGGTCAGCTCTTGTTAGTCTCGGCAACAAGTTGCATAATTGTTATTATACACAAAAAACTGTAATTGCACTATACATTATACATCATTATTTCTTAAGTAATATTGATAGATATCGTTTATGTTATATCTATGTTGCATTTACATGTTAATAAAGATGCGTTTTCCCATTAAATTTTACCATCACACGAAAGACAAATGTAAGTACACAAGAGAAATTGCATTAGTAAAAACATCCCTCGGTGTTATTTAATTTATTTTAGAATTATCACTGCATGCGAAAAACTGCACAGTGGAATCGACAAGCTTACCATCAATGGCGAGATGGAACCACGTGCCATTGTTTCTGGAGTTTGGCGTTCTATTAGGGAATATCACCCTACATTCGTACCAGCCTTGATCGCTCTCGCGAATATTCGTGAGATTTATGCTACCCTGGCCATATCCGCGATGGCTGATGTCGTCCAACAAGTGTATGCGACCTTTGTAGTCGTCCTCCAGCGACACGCGCCCATCGTACCACGAGAACACCGTGCGGCTCTAAGTAATCAGAATAAATGAAAAAAACATTTGGCGTCGAGATCGATAGATCCGTATGTCCGGTAGGTTACGCAAGAACAACTCATTCCCAGGCAACTAACTCTCCGAATGAGCGATTTTTCTTTCTTTTCTTTTTTTGCATGCAATCGTGAGCGAAATTGAGGAAATTGCACCGCGTAATCCGATTACAGTTGCAACGAGACGGCCATTAATTGAGTCTTCCTTTCGTGGAACGCACGACTCACACGATTCAACGAAAAAATATAACGTTCGTGCGGGAACACGCTATAATGAAATCTGAAGCTGCGTGCTTCAGGTGTACCGCGGAAAACGAGTGACTAAGGATCCATCGTGTCATCCGCGACGTTCCTTAAGTCATCTCCGTCGGTCACTAACTCCGCGCGTTCTCGCCTTCTCTCCGCCGACAAAACGCAATCAGAATCCCCGAAACGAGGATACCGCCGCCGACAGGGGCGAGAATGGCTTCTAATCGCTTCTAATCGTATGACAATGCATTAACAGTGACCCACTGGTTGGACCCCTCGTGTCGCAGACTGAACGTGACTAAATATAATGCAGCCTTGCGTCCCGTACTCCAATTACCAACGACGGACAGACGAAGAGGGAAAGACCACCTGTTTTGCATACGCATCAGGGACCAATGGGCTTAAGTCCCACTTGATTTTATGTAGCGACCACGTGCAATCCGTTTCCGTCGCGCGACCATCCAATGTAACATCCGCGAAAGAAGACTCGGACGAATACGCCGCGCGGCCATCTCGCGCGTCATAAAAGTCGACGCTCCCCCCAAGTTCCTTTTCAATAGCACGCAAATTACTGAGCATCTCGCGTCTCATACAACTTTTCTCTCTTTTAAAATCTTCCATTACAGAGCATTTTAATTGAACAGCATTCACTGTGTGCACCACGATATGCGATCGTGCAATTTAAGCGGATTGGCACACTAAAGAGAAAATCTAACGAAAAAATTCAAGTGAGGCAAGTTCCTCATCGAAGTACACGTCTTGCAACCTTTAACCTTAAAACCCTAAACATCAAGAAGTTATGTGAACTCTAGACATGAATAAATTCTAGCGTGCAGCGTATTTTCATTAACTTTCAGAAAAAATATTGAAATTTTATTCTTATTTTTCTATTCGAAAACATCGGGAAATATCTATTAATGTTTTTGTGTGATTCAATAAAGTTGAAAAAAATTAAAATGAAAAAACGAAACATACGTTTTTGAAAATGTTAATGTTTGAAAAGTGGGTCTTGGCAAAGATGTTGCTCATATTTAGGGTTTTAGAGTAAATATCTGATAACACACATGTATGGCGTTCGACGAGCTTTTTTCTATGACGTACATACACGGCGCGCGCAACCGAGAGTCCACTCTCCGACAACGTGCATGCACATTGTCGCGCAACGAAGAGGTTAACAATCGAGCCAGCTTGGATCGTTTTGGGCGGTTTTTCTCAGCTCATCGGTATCGTGACATCATCGGAGCGTATTACCGTGTTTTTAGCGTGCGACGCACTCATTGCTGTTTCTCTCGCGTATTATGTGTCCTCGTGAAATCGAGAAGTCGTGGAAATCCCACATGCGGGCAGATCCGCGTCGACGAAATCGGATATTTTGCAATAAGTAATCGAATAACGTGTCCTACCTTGAAACGCTTTTTTTCACGCCTTCGCCGGAAGGCGACAAGTACACGCAGATATACGTTCGTATGTAAATTAAACGAGTAGCAGGCTGCTTTAACGCTCTTTAATCGTCAATCAGTCAATCGCATGTCGTCGGGTTACCATTGTTACGTGCGCGGGCTACTATTAACTACGTTGTTAATGGTTAAAGCGAATCGCATTTCGCTTCGCGCGACCTCGACTTCCGTGTTTTGCAAAATACGTCTGTTATACGCTTCTTCGCAACTCTTGTTTCTTCTCTTTCTTTATCGCCTAAGGTTGAATATATTTTTGAAGAACAAAAAAGAGGAATAGTTATGCGAAATTGAAGAAAAATTACAGCACGATCCACACTGTTTCTCTGACCGATCAATGTGTCGCATCGGGAGTTAATATCACATTGAATGTCGCGTGCCTAATTGCATGGAAGCGATCTAACTGCCTAATAATAAATGTTCGCATAACCGCGTGCGGTCGGCCCAAGGCAAAATTGACATATACGAGGATATTACAATCACGCAACGTGCGGTATTATTTTACATATTGTGTATTACGCGTTTCGCAACGGCGTTTATGTCACGAGCTTCTAGGCCGCTCGAATTACTTTGTGAAGTAATCCTAAAGTAATTCGTAATGCTAGAGCTCTGCGCTTGAATGACAAAGTAACTACAGAGCAATTTGCAAATTCGCGGTAGCGATTGATACCACGCCGATGATCCAAGGGAGTAACGAGAATCTCACGACTACGCCTCACGCACTCCCTGCTGCGCATAACCGTATGAATAACGTACAGTTATGGCTCTGCTTGTTTTATACTTACGTCGCGGTTCCATTGGAGGATGTACGGAATCGGCGTCTCGTGCGGAAAGTCAAGATCGCAATTAAACACCACGTACTCTCCCACCCCCGCGGTAAGATAATTCGGTTCCTTATCCTCCTCTAGCATCAAGCCGTAGCTGCATGCTGAAAAACCGGCGACTTCATATTTATATATGTATATACACACACATACACACACACACACACACACACACACATATATTACATTTCCGAAGAATTGCTTTTCACTTGGCGTGTTTTTCGGCCATCCATGCTTTTTTTATCCGCGTCAGAGCATCGTGGACGGACGACTGTGAGACGACGTTGCGTGTAAAGTGATATTGCGCATTGGCACTAATTTCCGGAGATTGCGTAATTTTCCGCCGGATTATGCGCAACGATCGAGCGCTTTAATAAAATAATGTGTTGTTGTTATCTACACCCCGGCGTAAACAGCGTTTCCGCAATGTATCCGGTAGAGATAAATGATAAACGAGATGCGAAGAAGAGACTCCGATGAACCTCGACGATAATTAGCTTAACATCGATGCGTTTGAAAAACTTTCGCGGTCAGTTGTTCGAGAATCTATATTAAACACGACGAATATATACACATACATACACATACACACATACACACATATCGTCTCACTTGTTGTGTGGCGGCTCGCGATTATTCGGGTAAACAAGATGCTCAATTAACGCTTCTGGCGATAACCTCGAATTTAATTTATCTCTACCTCGTACTATGTAGCAATCAACGAATTGTGCTAGTTATAGTCGTTATCATCTGAAATGCCGAGTTTACGTTCCTCATTACGGTAGTCCCCGTTCGCGAAATCGAGATCGTCACTGCAAGTGTCGTCACGTTTCCGCCAGGAAGCGAATCGAGAAGGAGTGATTTTTTTCACAGAGCCTCGTGCCAATGGCTCCTCACCTACCTTTACAGCAGAGGAGGACCGCCAGCAGCTTGTAGAACTTCGCGGCGCTGCTCATCATTGCGTTCCGATACTGCGCCACGTTTCTTTCTCCTTCTTCTTCTTCTGCTTGTTTCCTCTCGCACTTTATTTATAATATCGCATCAACGTGAACGGCGTCGCGAGTACGTCGCATTAGTAGAAACGACGATGGACCACACTCCGCGGCGACGACCGACACATCTGTCATCACCCGCACTCATCGAACACCAGCCACCACCTTCGAGTCTGATCAGCACGCGTCACTCTGACGCGTGCGAACGACGTAGGTGTATGTTTCGAGCATCCTCGACCTCTCTCCTTCGTTCTTCCTTCGCTGAGTCAACCCCCGAGCGATCACCGGATTTTTCTCTCTGAAGCTCACGCAAGCTTACTCCACTGGCCTGTTTCGTTTTCTATCTCGGCACTCGGCGATTCACCTCGACTTTATCGCTCGAACACCGTCGGATCGAGATCGATTAGCAGCGTGTCCTGGTTCATCGACGCTTCGTGTCACCTCGACAGGTCGTTGACACCGGGGAACGCGTCGGAGGAGTACCAGGTGTCTGTCCAGTGTCGCTGGAACGACGTACAGTTTGATTCGAGACGAGACTGGTGGAGAGTGCTCCGGAGGCAACGGTAGATCGAGTAATCGCGCCGCCTCGTTCAATCCGAGCGGATACGAAGAGCTAGGAGTAATGAGCACCGCCGGGAGGGGGCTGCGAGGGTGGATGGACCGCGATGCGGGAAGGGGGGGTGGTGGCGCGGAGCGCGTCGCGATTCTACGTTTACGGGCACGGGGTGTGTACGCTCCGTTTAGCGTCGTATATGAACTTCGGCACACCCATGGCGACACGAATGAACGGCGCCGCACAAAACACGATCAATTACACGCGATTAACTCGATCCGGCAAAAAACGAAATCGCGAGATGCGTCGCGGAACGCGCCGAGCCTTCCTCGGTGTGTTTCCTCATCGATGTTTTCCTCATCGATTCGTGCGCATTACTCGACGTGACCCGAGATAACGCCTGCGTTTCCGTCGCCGTCATCGGGAGATTCGTCGTACTTCCGATGAGAAATTTCGCTAGCTTCGTGCTACATTTCATATCTTTCTCCACTTGCTACATATCGGGAAGAAAGTTTAGTTAAATTAACCTGACAATATGGATGAATCAAATTTTACATTTTGGTTAAAGGAATTCGGTTGAAATTAAATTTTTGATGAATCTTGGTTTATGGACAAAATATGACAAATAGTATATTAAATATAATATTCTAGAAGAGTCAGAACTCCTGTTTCTTTCCATCAAAATACGTTTGATTCGTTCATTGTTAGCTTAGTTCAGTCGAACTTTTTCTTCGTACTTCTTTACAAGAATTGCACGTTTTAATTGTAAGCAAAGATTAGTAGCAACAGTTGCTTTTCTAGTTAAAAAATATTCTTCTCTAGTGAGAAAGATGAATTTCTGTTTTCTAACAAATGCATCTTTAATAATTCGCTAGACATCTAGTTTAGTGCTTGGTAAAAAATAGTTATTTAGAATGTGAGATGTGATTATCAAAGAAAGGTAAGCAAAAAGAAAAGAATATGATTAGGTAACATTGAGGTTTATTCTGTCTTTCAGATATGTAATCTCTGAAGTCGTCGTCCGAGCATGCGAAGGGTTGCGTTCTTACAACGAGAACGGAAGAATTATACTACATTCAACCTATCTTCGATCGCTGGCTCGTGCTCTTTCATCGCTGCTCTTTCTTGGTCAAAGCTCGAGTCGAGGGAATTAAGCCATGCGTACGGCGTACACTGAGAAAAAAATATTTGGTATTTGTAGCTATAACCACATAGAAAAACAATTATTACAACTCTTATACTCAAGAAAACTAATTGTTTATTAAATTCTAGTATAATGTTAGTGATGATAACTTTGCATATTATTATTATTGCATGTTACTACTACTTTACTACAAAAAATGGTTGCGCTCCCAATAAAAACTATAGTTTTGGTTAGATCAATCATTTTTTTCTTAGTATAAGTAAGTAGGTATCAAAAGTTTATTCCCTAAACCCGGTTACATATAAAAACGCATGATCTGTACTATGCATAAGTTAATTATATTTTGCATTAATGAAGTCAATGATCGTCGTTTCATATAAAATAACAGAAGAAATAGAAATATAAAATATTTCGCCTGAGATATGTTATTTTTATTTAAGTAGATTATATATGAAAAGTAAAACTGGTGTTTACATCCGCTAAATAAAAATTTGTAGAACATGTGAATTCTCATGACACAATAAAGTGGCCTTTGAACTCTTTTACTTATACACCCACGTAATTATCGTTTATGCGGCTCTTTTAAGCTCTAAGACTCTGGTTTCCGGTTACAACCTGATTAACATCCCTCATAAAATGAACGACCTCTCTGTCTCACTTTCTCTTTGTTGGATTCGTACACAGAAAAATACATACTGCATTTAAGTCAATGGTATTTGTGTTTTAAGTATTTCATAAGTTTACATTTCCGCAAATGTATCATAAGTTTATTATAAGCGATAAATTTATTAAAAATATATTGCAAATCCTAATAAACTTAGTATTTTGATTAAAAGTATTAAATTGAAAAGCAAAAGTTTATTTACTGCATAGAGTCGAATCATTTTCTGTGATAAAATTTTATAATATTCTTATAAAGAGAATAAATTCTTTTTTTGGGCACATGATAATATATAAGCACTTCTTAAATTTATGATAGATATCTTAAGACTACTATGAAGAAAATATTCCTTGTTAAAGGTAATTATATCATTCAAGAGAAAAGTAAATTGAGTAATCGCTTTCTTAGCAGTAGAATGATATTTTTTATTTATACATAAAAGGTATAGAAAAAATAAAAAAGGACAATATATATTTTTGCAATTTATTTTCTTGAATCAAATTGTTTTATTTTCCCAAGAGCAGCAAGAGATATACACGATATTCTGAAAATAGAATTTGTGTATTTTTACTTTTATTCTATCGGACTATAGAAAATTTTATTGATGTCTCTTCTTGCACCTATATGATACGTAGAGGAATCGTATCAAAAAGTCCTTTCAACAACGCGATTTACAAGTGAGTTTCACGAGATGCTTAGAATCGCGAAACCATGTCTCGAATCGAGCAGCAAACTACATGCCGAAGCAACAAAATGCCTTTCGTGCAGAGAAATCATCGATTTCCGATGAGTTTTGCGCTCGCCGAAGTCGCACGACGAAGCTGCATCGGAGCAATCGCTCGCTCGCGCGCGCGTGGGTGACCTCAGATTACGTCACATCCGTCCCTTGCCGCATTAGCAGACTGCCCACAGCCTTGTCACGCTGTTGAGATAATGGATCCATTCGCATGGATCACGATCCAGGATTGGATGTGCCCGGGACACTGGAAATAAATGCGTGCATAATGATACCGGTCGTATTATTTCATCGTCGACACAGAGGAGGGAACGGCTTGTTCCTGGTTCACCTGCCCTGCGCTCAAATCGATCATCAGCCATCGCAAAATACCTGTTTAACGGACAGACGGTAAGGACTGATCCGCGCTTCACGGGCAGCACGTGGTTTCCCATGTGTCACGATCGCGCCGCACGATCTTCGCGAGAGTCGTTATCGCATTTATTATATATAACGGGCGCAAAGTTAGATTTACGAATATGTGTGTGTGTGTATCAATATGCATTATATAGAAAAACTAATTCCTAACTTTTTCTGTGTCCTTTATGAAAATCTTTTCTGGAAATTGTTTCTTTGTTATTTAATACGCTGATATAATTACATCAGACACGATTTCCCTCTTATAAACGGAGAAAATATTTTAGTTTCTTTTTCATATAAACTCTTTTCAATTTTATTCTAGTAGCGCAAGAATAGGACATAGTATATTTTTTAATAGCACATTTTAATTCCTAAAATATAAATAGCACATATGACATCGGGTCGTTTCTCCCTAATAAAGCGCACTGAAATGTTCGCGAAACGTTGAAATCAGACGAAAAAAAATCAACATGGCTCAAACCCGGAAACCAAATCTAATATTCATGAACAACGGGAAAGCCTCAAATATCAACATATATACATAAAAAAATAATCAATTATTGCGGAATGTCGATTACGTATATTCGTCGGTTATAAAATTTGATAATAGTTTTTACTATCGAGTTCGCGCAAGTAAAATTCTTCTCGTATATATTTCAGCCACGATATTTAGCAAAAAGCATTTAATTTGAATATGAATGTATATTAATTCAACGTAAAAATATAGTCTTTTGATAAGAATCGTTTTTGAAGTAAATATTAATATAAAATATTATAATATTAATATAAAATATTAAATTAATATAAATATTAAATATTAATATAAATATTATAATAAAAAATATTAATATAAAATATTATCCTATAAAAAATATTATATATTAAGGAGATAAAATATTATCTCCTTTACAATAGATCTATATGCGTAAAGCAATTTATAACCGACGAGGGTAAAGAACATTTTAGTAAGTTTCGGTAGTGTAATTGAATTGCTCTCAAAATTTATTTTTCATGACGAAAGTAATGTACTATATTGATTATAGGTATGAAAAGCAGAAGAAAAATGATTTATTCTCAACAATTCTTCCGTTATAGCCAACAACGAGATTGCATGATTTATCAGGATTCATGAAGATTCAGATTTGCATCTTGTACGTGTGACGTTCATCATGTGAGTAAAAAAGATCAAGAAGGAGGAAATCTTCTTGACGGATGACTCTTGTAATGGAGTGGCGTTCCAGTTTTTGACACGATATAACACGTACCGACGCCGCGACGTACGTTGAGAGAAATAATGGAAATGACGGTAATTTCCAGTAATCAGTGTCGTAGATGCCTTGCGCAAATCTACCTTCTTCTGCTAGTTAACGGATGATTTCGCGAGCAAATTACAGTCGCGCCGTGATTTCACGATCTTGCATATCAGGCGTCAAAATCTATTCCCGTTTATAAGGCTGCTCCGTAAGACTGTCTTTTCGCGAGTTTATTTTCTTCGAGTTTAGTTTATTCTCTTCGGTTGTTAGATGCAATTGTTATTATTCCTGTACCGTGCAAGATACGCGATGCGCATTCCTTAATAAATCAACGAAGGCGATAATTGCCAGGTGACCCGATTTCCTTCTTTCGACAATAATCCTACTCGCCTTGAGAGGCAATTCAATCCTCCATTATCACCAGGGTGTAGAAATCTTCTAGTTAGGGAAGAAGACGACATTTCTGATAATATCATCTAACAACTCAGATACTGATCTAACGATGTCACGCCAACTTATGCGGCATTTGGCGTGCCAACGTTTCATTTTCACTCGTTAGGTTACAACAACGTAGAATTACAGTTAATATCTAATATCGTCAATTGGATCTCTTTCTCTCTTTTTTGTACCTGTAACGCAATAATATTGTATATTCTATCAAAAACATGCCAATGAGTTGTCTTGCAGTATATAAGAGAGGACGAGGGCAGATGTTCTATATATTTCAGTATTTCGAAATTACAACTTTTCAAACAACTAATTGTTGTGGTTGTACAAACATGATAGAGACAGCTTCCTTCTATGTGTTAATATCCATGTGTTAATGCACCAATTTGTTAAACGTATATTTTGTTTTGTAACAACCAAGATACAAACATCCATCAACGTAACCATCTTGCCCTGGTACCGGGTTCAATTACTCAATAGCGTAGAGTAAAGAAATATTAAGAAAAGCATATGAGTCACATATCTTTAGAGCCATCTGGACCAGGTCATCTTTACATTTGTATATATATAGCTGCTCTAAGAATTTATAATACGATGTAAAAATATTGATTTGTATCAAAAACACGTTTAGGTAATCACGAGTTGCGCAAAGGTATCTATGTCGTAAAATGAGCACTGATGTGAATTTTAAATCGTTAACATTTTCAACTGAGTTGTTGATATCAGTCGATAGCTACTAAAAAATGCTTACGCCGATTTTATACAGAGAGAATATTATTATTTCTTTCGTATAAATTTTTTCAGTTTTTTATTGGGAGTACAAATTAGTTCGGTCCGTTTTTTTGTGGTCAAAAATGCATTTATTTCAGAACAAAATGAATTAACAGATTAATCAAAATATTGTCCATCGCTGGCTACTACTTTTTCCCATCTCTCAGGCAATTTTCGAATTCCATCTCGAAAAAATGCCTCATCCTTTGAGGCGATCCAAGTTAGGAGCCAATTTTCGATTTCTGCGAAAGAAGTGAACCGGTGACCTGCCAAATCGTGCTGCATCCGTCGGAACAACCAGTAATCAGAAGGAGCAATGCCCGGCGAATACGGCGGGTGCGGTAAAATATCCCACTTGAGCGTTTCCAAATAATTTTTTACGACTTTTGCGACATGAGGCCGAGCGTTATCATGCAGAAGAATAACTTTGTTATGTCTTTGCTCGTATTCTGGCCGTTTTTCTCGTAATGCACGGCTCAAACGAATCAATTGTAGCCTATGCCGATGGCCCATAATGGAATCGCTAGGTTGTAGCCTCCAATTCTTTGTCTTCGAATTTTTTTGGCTGTCCAGAGCGAGGCTTGTCTTCAACGCTGAAATCACCATTCTTAAAACGTCGAAACCATTCCCTACATGATTTATCAGTTGGAGCATTGTCACCATAAACTTCTACAAGCATTCGATGCGCTTCAGCTGCACTTTTCTTCCAATTAAAGCAGAAAACTAAAACCTCCCGCAAATGCTGCTTAGTTAACACAAAATTTGACAAATTCAACACAGTAAAAAACATAGGTTTTGTGTGAAACTCAAAGCGATATAAACTGAATATTATTGACAGATGTCTAACCTCTCTGAAACCACCGAAATCAGCTGTCACTATGAAACATTCATAACAGCCAGAGCCATCTTTTGAAAACGGACCGAACTAATTTGTACTCCCAATATTATGTGTTTTTAGTAGTCTAAGAAAAAAATATTGTCTAATTAAAATCTATCTTGCTAAGAAACACAGCAAATTTTGCTAGAAACATAACAAGAATTTTAATAGTACATTTTAGCATCTAAAACATACGTAGCACATGTGAAATAAAAGGATTACTCCAATAAACGAATTACTGCAGAATATTCATTCTAACAAAATTTGTTCTCTTTTAGTACTTTCATAATAATAATCTTTTCTAACGAATGTAAGAATAAAAAATGTTCCTGTTCGGTTTCAACAGCTAGCACTACGTGCAGGTAAAGAACAAGCTAATTTTCGGCAAGTTTAGATAAAGATGCCTT